TAAGTAAAATGCCGGGTAGGATAAAAATAAAGATAAGATAAAAATGTAGGATAAAAATGGCCAAGTTATCGGCTCTTATTAATGCTTTTCTTGTACACGTCATGCGATTCATTTCCGTTCAGAATCGGAATTGGGCATGGATTTAGCTTGCCTCTATTATGGCTAGAAGGTCAGATTGTCTGAAAATTGGAATTTTTGGAGTCTAGTACTTATCGGCCTATCTCGAAATAATGGAAAGCTTGTTCATATGGCAAGATATGAGCTCAAAATTTGACCAGCGGACCGCGCTTCTACAACGCCACTGGTCACTTTGAGAACACTGTGGTCCGAAGGAACATTCGACGAGGAACTTTTGGCAGTTTGCCTTTGCTTGCAGCATTCATGGGATGATGACTCGGCCGCGTAGCTTTCTAGTATTCATCGTAATTTTGAATTCTGTCGATACCATTCGAATCGCTCTGCCTAAAGGGAATGGTCCCCTCAAACGTCGATTTTTGCTCTATAGTCACCATAGAGGTTGAGATCGACCAGCTAAGGGAGCATGCTGTATTTTGGAATGTTGAGAAAGACCTAGTTTTCTAGTCCTCCGATTTCTCGAATTTATAAGCTGGTACATTTCTGGTTGCTGCCAGACGCGTACCAGGTTATAAATTAACACCAGTTGGCAACGCACGCTGCTGCGCGCAGACCACAGTTCTGTGGCGTTATAAAACTGTGCGGCTAGAATTCATAAATGTAGCCCGATCCCACGAATGCTTGACTTGTCCTTCCCTAGGCTCTATCCGCCTTCTTCTCAGTCTGTGTGCTATCTTCAAACCATGTATCAATTTTTGATTCTAGCCCTACTCGCTTGGGTGCACGCTCCGCCCGCCAAAGGCACTTGACCTTTTCTTCCTCGCCAACCTCTCTTGTCACTGTTTCCCTGTTTCTGGGATTGCTCTGAATCGAAATATAAAGTTCTTGGGAAACTCCGCCCACTTCACCACACGTCCCGCCCACCGATAACACCTGACCTTCGCTGGCCAATCTCTAGCCCCTTTTTCTCCCGGTCCCTGAGACTTCTAGGAACCGAATTTTCAAGTTTTTTGAAGCCGCTGTTCCTGTGCGCGCCGCATTCTCTTTCTTTCTGGTCTCTGGAACTGCTCTGAAACGAGTTATGAAGTTTTGAGGTCAAACTCCACCCACTTCGGTGCATGCCCGCCAACCAATAGCATTTGACCTCCTTCCCTTCGAAAATTTCTGTACACTTTTCCCAGTTCCTGGACTGCCTCTGAACCAAATTATGAAGTTTCACTCGAGGCGGATCTCAAGGAGTGTAGGGAATTTTGTGCAGACACCATGACAGAACACTTGACAAAACAACAGGTTCTTTCATGCTTCAAGAAAATTCGAGTGCATAGCGTGTTCTGGAAAATCTTCCCTTACCTCCTTAGTGGCACATTTATCATAGCGGCATTCGCAAGTGTAAAGTAATGAGCTGTTGGTCGATATCGGTAGTGAAGCTTCGACTTGAAATCTATTCACTTTATTACAAGCTTCTTCTATCAGTCCCTGCCGAGTCTAGTAGAGTATTCTGGTAACCACAAATTGCATTTTGGAAGAAAGTCGACTGCGTGGCGCATCCCATCAAGGTTTTTCAGCTGTTATCTTTGCGGCATCAACTATTATGTCTGCAGCAGTTCAATTTAGTAGCGTACATTGGCAATTTAGGTGGAGAGGTCTCCACTTAAGTCGGTTTGTAGGAGGCTGCACCGAAAGCGAGGACGGTATGGAATGCTGTCCGTCGTCACAAATCACTTTTTCACGCCATCGCGTGTTCCTGATCGATTCCTTGTCACCGCTCGCATTCACATGGGAATGAGGGCTGCGGTAGAGAATCGCAGCTCGAAACGCGATTTCCACATCAATGCTCTGTATTTCCCAACACTCGCCACATTTCACGGTTGTCCCATTTGATTTCACGCCGCTGGGTTGTTTCATCTGACCCAGCAAAACTCATCATTTCAATTTGTGGCCAGAGGAAACTTGAGGTCTTGGGTTCCATATGTCGCGAAGTTTTTTATTGATTCTTTACATATTCACGGAGGAACTTTGGAGGCTCTCAAGGGTTAATGAGATCGTTGAACAGAAACAATGTTATCGAACGAAACAATCAATTCAACAGTGCTCGATGAATAGTTTAAACGAGAAGTTCTTGATTCGCCCTCAGACCTAACCAGACATATTGGCTCTATCCCGTTGAGGTTTCACCATTTGTCATGATTCCTTCCATGGTTGAGTGTTCTTGCATATCGATCACTGACGGTTCGACCCTTTCGTGTACTTGGGAATGTGACAGAGACTTTGCTACTGAGGGCTCGCGGCCGCGGGATGCTCACGTTTACGGGAGAATAATGAATTTTCTTCCTTCTATCGTCTCCGGGCTTTCTTCTTGTCGAAACTTACCTGGTTTTGATGGCCAACCAAAATTCGTTGAGGTTAGCCTTACGCTATAACACCTCTCCTTCCACGAAACCTTCCAGGTATTTACACACTTCAACGCTATTCGCAAGACACGGGAACATCTTCTAAATGGTAAGAAGACTAGGGTAATAGGGCAGGTACATGGGGAATTAAAAAAATTACCCACGCACCCTGGAGCTCCTTCTCTCCCATCCAAGGCTCAGTCTCAATTTTACAAAAAAGGAATGTTTTACGAGGTTTTAAATATACCGGTTTTGCACTTCTCAATGCCCCTGGATCTTGGTATAGCACCCACGTGTTTTGCAAAGCTCGCCCTCTGCCCTACCTAATCTATTTCGAGATTGCATTATTCAGTGTGTCCAGGTGGTCCCTCCTGGTCACCGGGTGGTCGTAGCAAACTCCTAATCGCCTGTCTAATCAGTTGTTTTATCCATCGAACTGTTTGTGTTGTACGGAACCGCCCGACCACAAGCTGCATCAGATTGCCCAGTCGCTCACCGGGCGGGCCCCTGCATGCATTCTCGAGCCTCCGACCAGTTTCCGTTTGCGCGTCCTTTTGCACGCGGTTCCTTGTTCGAATGTTTTGGGAGGCTGTGGAAGCTTCACTTTCTGTCTCGCTTCTCGTGGGCCCGCCGTTGGCTCAGCATCGGCGTAACCACGAAATAAAAGCTGTTTTGTGTAATTGCTTGGACAGGCCCTCGTTCCGCGATGCCATCACTCCGGCGTTCAGAATTGTTTTTGATTACAACTACACAAGTTCGCTTAGAAGGTTAAAAGTTAGGGTGCTTTTTCAAATGGGGAGGAGCTTGTAATTTCATGGAATCGGCAGCAAACGCCTCTTTAAATGTCGTTTAATCGCATCAACGTCTATCGATTCTGTAATACTTGCTTTTGGATTTTAGGAATTCAAGTCAAGGCTCGTTTCGGCATTACCTTCTCAAGATGTTGTCGGTCGTGTAAACTTATGCAGGGACTCTGGCTTGATTTCGCTTTTCAAAAAAAAAATTGGTCAAAGAAATGATCAAAACATCCGCTCCTTCGTAACGAATGCATGGTTTTTTATGGTCGGCGGCATGCGTGTCAGCTACTATGTCGGAATTTTGTTCCTGTTCTGTATGAATTCGTACTTCTTCCCATTGGGGACCCAATTTGTTTCGTATTCACTACACTCATCTCACTCACTGTTTTTTTTGTCATTCCGTTTCTTAAGGAACTCGAAGGAATCATATCGTTTGGAGGTAAGCTGGAGGTAGGAGTATGAATTCCATAGAACGAGTTTCTCCTGAAACGATCGTTTGGGTCTCACGCGTACCGTTTCTCTATTTCCGAAGGCCTTGCAAAGTGAACCTGCCATCAACTCTGTAACGACTTTTATGCGCGTTGAGGCGAAATGCCATAATCACCTCGTTTTTCGCCCTGCGAACCTAAGGCCAATGGCTGCTGCGCACCTCTTAATGTTTCCAATGTTGAGCAGTGATTTAGTGACAGGTCAGCAAAGCTCTACTCAAAGGGGAAGCATTTTTGATCTGTTAGACGGGAGCCCATTAACTAAGGTAGAGGTGGTTAGGGGCCGCGAAGAGAAAACATGAGATGGCCCAGAACCTGAAAAATGGGTCCACGTTGCCCGTTGATGCCCGCATTTATGCGATTGTTATCGGTAGTACCCCCTTCAACGCTAGTGATCTTTGTGCAAGCTGCTGAGACCTACGCCGGGTGCTTAGCGAGTCGGTGGGCGTGCCGCGTCGGGAGCGGCAGACGGCCATGCTAGATTGTCGGGGACATGTCCTTTGATGTTAACTGCGTGTCGGTCCACACATTCCAGGTGGTCCGCCTGCCTTTCCACTAGGCAGTTTCCCCTTCTCCCACCTTCAAATTTATCGCGAAATCCTCCTTTGATGGTTGGCAAGCATAGTATTGATTGACTTCATGATCAAGCAGTACGCTACCGGTGGACTATTTTCAACCAGGATGAACTTGATGGACTTTGCTTGAAGCCTAATGGGTTATATCGATTGGTGGATTGTCTGCGGGCAAGGCAATCAGCGGTATGCTCGTTGCGGCAGAGTCAACCCTGCGTTGCGCAGTTCTCAACGGCCACGTTGCGCAGTTTCGCCCGATTAGACACGTTCTCTCGCGCGAACATTCACACTCGCATGCTCGAGCCGTCTGTGTCTCCGCCCATACAGCGTGCGTTGAGGATCTCTCAACGTGCCGTTGCGAACTGCGCAACGCAGGGTTGACTCTGCTGGTTGCCCCACCGCAAGCCTTCATTGCTGAATAGAAATTGCTACTTCAAGGTTATTGGATTTGGTTTGACGTAGGTTTTCCTCACAGCTTACCATAACCGGAAGATCCGACCATGGAATTAACCGGGATTGAATGAAGAAGTCAGCGTTCTCAGATAACCTACGTTTCGGTTCCATCGCGTGAAGCATCC